GGTTTTTGTCAATTGCTTACATAACCTATTCTGCATTTAGAGGTTCTCTTCTATATTGTTTTCTTACAAGTGTTGAGAACCTAATGGCAAGTATCGTTCTACTATGAATTTGAATCATGAATAGAGGTTTTTGCCTTACATTCACACTCTCCTCTTGTTGATTTTTAATTACTATTATTATATCATTTCTTTGAAACATGCATGATCTTTCCTAAATAAGAATAGCTCATGGATCTTAAAAATTTTCTCAAGATATATTTTCAAAAATTTTAGGGCACATTACAATGTTGTTCTGAAGGAAATTGAAGTTGGTGGTGCTGTTCTAGAACTTCCAACAGATGTCTTTGATGCCGGAGATAACAGAGGTACAATAATTGATAGTGGTACAACTTTGGCCTATCTTCCTGACGTAGTTTATGAGTCATTGATGAACAAGGTACTTGCAGTTCTTTAAATTTTGTTAATTTGAAAATCTGTGGTTAAATCCTCATGCCATATTTGTTAAAATTAGATTCTGGCTCGGCGGTCTGGATTGAAAATACAAACCGTTCAGGAAACATTCTCTTGTTTTCAGTTCAATGAAAAGTAAGATCCCAACTGCAGTTACTTGTAATTATTATAAAATTACTGTTTTGTGGACAAGGCCTATTGTTTGGCTGCTGTGCCTGAATGTTGTTTTAAGTTTCATATTGTTTCTTTCATTGTTGTACCTATTCTTGCTATTAAACTCTTCTTTATATTATTTTTTTTTGTTGGGAGAGGGGGATTAATCTACCCTCCTCCTCCCCCAACAATCTATTTGCGGCAGTGTTGTAAATGTGGAACATTTCTTCCTCTAAATTAAGATTGACCGGACATGGCTCTAAAGGAGGAAAAGAAAAAGCACAAAAACCCTGAAGGATGTTAAGTTGAGTGTAATTCTTACATATGTTTCCTTAAACTAATATTGGGTGAATCGCCATCATTCAGTAAGTTGAGCTGTCGTGCTGTATTCATTTCTAGGTTTCTAGACCCCTATAAAAGTTTGAAAATGCAAAGATTTCCTGATTTTGAAGATTAAAATGCAGACTACTTTAGATTAGCTTTGATTAGAGTTTCTTCTTAAGAGCTACTGGAAACTTTGTGCTGAACCAGAGTTCTTAAGTCAAGATTTACTGGATAGAAAGAAACCTTTCTTTCTCTAATTAAATATAGCGTTTAATCCTAGCCTTCAAGTTTTGCTAACTTCATTTCTCGGTAGTTTCCTTCTGTATTGTAATCTACAGACAAGAATATTTCAACAGTAGAATGTACACTTATGGAGATCCACATTTTTTTTCCTTAATGTCTCTGTTTTGTGCTGTAGGAAAAACTTTGCGAGGAGTTATTGATAAAAGAGTTATTTTCTTAATGTCTAATTTATATGTTATATTTGCCTCAGTTTCTTCAGTTCAGTGCTTTTTCCCAAATAATATGTTTGTTTATATTAAACTTTGAAACTTTGATTTTCTCTTTTAGTCCCTTGGGATTATTTTTATATGTTTTTTTGGATACACTTGCAGTGTTGATGATGGATTCCCGACTGTTACTTTTCATTTTGAAGATTCCATTTCCTTGACAGTTTATCCTCATGATTATCTCTTCCAAGTTCGTGTAAGTAAATTATTCAATGGAATTTTAATATTTTATGTCAGTTGACATGGTTACTGTCTTTTTTTAAAATAGATACGTTCATATATTACAACTATCATGATTTATCTGATTGTTTGATCTCAGTGTCTGCTATGATTTTTTACCTAAAATCTTGTCTTTGTTGTATCTAGATTGCAATCCAATTATGATTTTCAGTTTGCTATGTTCGATCGCTTAAAATTAGTAAACATCTTTCAGTGTTTGTTTAGACATCTTCCATACTTGGTGCAATTCTTTTCATCACCGCATGAGGGGGCTGAAGACTTAGATCTGCGACTCTTGGGTTTGTTAACAAAAGGCTTCCATTATTTATTCTACTCTTTTGACCAACTAACTTAAATGGCTGCTATATTTCTTAATCACAAGCATGGATCTGAGAATTTTATAAATCTCGTTTGATCAGCCTGTTCTATTGGACCTGATAATTTACTTTTTTTGTTAAATCTAAGTCTATGAAGCTTATGCATTTTAATTGTTAAATTACTCGGGCTTTGCTTTCGTTACTATTTTGTATCAATAGTGTTGGCAGCTGTACTTCATTGAGTGTTTTCCAATTTCATTATGTGATTTGTTAAATTTATTAGAGCAGGCAGCTCTTAAATAAAGCTGAATAATGTGAAATTCTCCTTATAATTTACTTCAGGCAGCAAGGAAACAGGTGGAGGGACAATACTAAATTATTAAGTTTAGTAAAAATAAATGCAGTTCTGTTAAAAAAAGAAAGGAAATGAAAAAAAAAAAAGAAATCCTTAGTATATTGTCGGTAACATAAAAAAGCCTTAGTGTGGGTTACATTGTTATATGTTTTTGACTTTGATACCCCTTAGTTAATTCTCTAATATGTTAAATGCTAGGGGCTTTATGCAAACTAAGTCAAGGCCATTAGTTTGCACTATTGAAAAATTGACATTTTATTTTTATTTAATTAATTGGAAAGGTATATTTTTAATGTGATGGAAAGCATAAGGATTAATAGATTTTGATTAAATCATGAATTTTAGTTCTAGATTTTTGTTTACATTTTCAGAAGTTTTGTGTTTGTAGTTTTGGTCTTTAGTTAATTTCTAGTTTCATCTGTTGACAAATCATTTTCGTGGCTCTCTTCAGGAAGAAATGTGGTGTTTTGGTTGGCAGAACGGAGGGATGCAAACTAAGGATGGAACACAATTGACTCTTTTGGGAGGTGAGTTTGGAATTGCTTGTAAAACTACATTTTCTTCTTTCCAATTATCACAGGTCTAATGCCTGGGTGGTCTTAAACTATGTTGAGTGTAAGGGTCAAGGATTAAAGACTTGCTGACTTTCACTAAGTTTTCTATTGAACTTAACCTAGAATTGTTTTGTTAGATAGCTATCCTGTATGACTAATAATATTTTCCTGGTTGGAAATACCTAAAGGACGCAGTATTTTTTTAGTTACTTGACAAAAACTTGTCCTGATCTTTTAGCTCAGTTGTGTAATCTTTATTATATTACCTATTCAAGTAGTTGTTATGGAGATAAATTAACACTATGGGTTAATTAAGAAAGAATCCAATGATTTCCTAGCGTTTGAAGTATCCAACAAGTTTTTTCTAAATTCTTCTATAATTTTTTCATCACTAAAAAAACAGAATTTGTACATATAATAGACTGGATAACTGTTTTATACTAACTGCCCCATCCTAGACAGGGGTCATAGACTTATATAAATTGCATATACTGCCAATTTAATGGATGGCAAAAAGACAACAAAACAAATTAGATCTGTCATATCTGATATGAGGCGGAGAAGTAAACAAACATTTGGCAGTACATTGGACATTCCACCACTAACACTTGCCTTAACTATTTTTCTTTCTTCATTTTAACAGTTGCCTGTTATCAGCGACTGGTTCATGACATCATTCTTGCATTTGTCACATATATTTATACACACACACACACGCATATTTATCTCTCAAAAGAGTTGGGACTAAAACATAACTTTTTGTACGTCTGCTCGGGCGCTTTTTTCCCATTTAAACTCATTTGTTTTTTGTTTGTTTTCTAATGCAGATTTAGTTCTTTCAAATAAATTGGTTTTATATGATATTGAGAACCAAGTTATTGGATGGACTGAGTACAACTGTGAGTATATTCCGTAGTGTTCATCAATTCTACTTTTTTTTTTTTTTTTTTGTGTCAAAGTTACTGTTTATTATGGGATTGAGTTGTGAAATGTTGATGGTGAGTG